TGTGGGCATTGTGGCCTTGAAAAGGTGCACTTGTTCCACCATGCCCTCCATGTACATATGTATGTGGTTAATTGGAATAAATAAATAAATAAACAAAAGCTGCAAGTCAATATTTTTTATTTTGAAATACTAGTGTTGTATTTTAAAGTACTTTTCATGTCTGCAAAATAATGGATTCTTTCCAGGAAGAAGTTCACATGTTATATTTACAAACATGTATGTTGAATAGATGACGCCACATTTAGGCCATGCACATAGAGTGACCTCAAAATTATACTTTGCCAAAGAACTTTGAAAACCCCATGTGGGCATTTGGTGGGGACTGGTAGATGGTATATTTAGGGTTTTTAGTAAATACTTTTGTTCCAATACAAAAGATAAACTTTTGCATCCCCCTAGAATGTAAGACTATATTTGTTCCAAAAATATGTTAACAGTTTTACATATAGATTGTAATGTAACTCTGTAAGATGGTGCAACTAAGTTGAGTGAGCAAAGCTAATTGATATTTGTGAATTTGATTTTGTTCATTTCACGTGAGTGTATGAAAAGGCTATGCCTCTGAGGCATTGCCAAAATGTAGAAGGAAATACAACATTGGTGTGTCCTATAAACGAGTTTTACATGTATGTGTTTATGGTTTGTCCACATGAAAGCCTTTTGCTTTAATATACACAGAGAGTACATAGGCATGCTTTATTTCAGCATTAAATGAATTAACTGAGTTATCAAGTGAGTGAAGGTGTCATTCATTTTTGTGTTGTTGACTACATGTATAAGAGGTTATCAATATCATTAGGACTTGACCGTTGACTGTGTTGAGATAGACGATTGATAGGGGGCGCTTCTAAGCATTGCAGCATCTCATGGAAGATAAGTAGTGTGGGAGTCGAGAAACGTTACGTCCACTTGAGATACCACCGAAATGACTAGTCTTTTATCTTCTTTGTCTAGAAGAAACAACGGTCACGTACTGAAATTAAAAAAAAAGAAGAAATGCTGAATGATTTCGAAAAAGGACAGCCCACTCTAGTACATAAAGAGATCATCGGGGGCGATGCATTATTTGATTTGAGGATACAAAATGGGAATCTTCCAGGTATATTTATTAATATTAACCTGTGTATCGATCCGTTGTCATTGCCAATAAATAAATAAAGAAAGAAATATGCTATAAAGTTATGCTGGTCTAGTCATGTTGTATAGCCTCGTTTGTTAGACGTCTAAAGAGGTAGCAAGGCCATAGCAACAAGCGGGCGTCTAAAGCACCACTCGCGCCTGTGTAGCAAGGCTACACAATTTTAGTCATTTGACAGTTGGATACGTCGTGAGACTAGAAAGGCCGACATTTGCTCGAGAGCAAATGCAGCAAATGGCTTCACCACATCCCCCATACCAAAATTAGACCTATCCCCCCTCCCGTACAAATGGATTGCTCCTTAAACACCCCTGTCCAAAATGTGAAGTGTTCCAATAGTCTATACCCTCATGCATCAATGGAATCTTCAAACGCCTTCTGCTGTTGGAACATGTAGAACCATAGTGGTGAAGCCATAAAAAACATAGCCCTATTTCAAAAGAGGTTGTAAAAATATCGCGTGATGTGACAGCATGTAAAATGTCGTTGATGTACAAAGTTACTGTTCGTGACAAAAGTGTTAAATAATTTTATTTAGCCTTGTTTAAACCTTCGATTCCGGGACATTCGTAAAGGTAACGCTAGACAAAGCTGATTTATACATATTTCACCTCAGTGTAAATATTTTCAGCATATGTCCAAAACTACCACGGTAATGGCCATTACTAGTTGATACTAGAAAGGCCGACATCTGCTTGGGAGCAAATACGGCATATTTCAGTCCATCTCCCGCCCAAACTTACCCCAGTGCAAAACTGGAAGATTCTCAAATAAATGAATTATGAAGCAGCTATGTAATTGAGAACAGAGATGCAAGAACAAGCACTTTGAATCTCGATAGCTTTACTTACAAAATTCTAGTTTTACAGGGATTTTCTGACGTTTGACGCTGACTTTGGCACGATATGATCGCACTACCATGTACACGCTACCGAAGGCGACAAATGAGTGGTCATTTTTATACAATTGTCGAGAAATTTTGGTGTTATGCACCCAGAAGTGCGCATGCGCCGATATCGGTTTGCGTTCCCTCGATCTTTTGACAGTTTCCCCCGTTAAAATAAGAAACAAGACTACCGCTATTAAGCTTATTTTAGGGATGAGCTTCGCAAATGTATTATATCTGGGGAGAGAAATGTTAATCTTTTCAACAGCTGACCTTAGGCCATGTTGATTTGATTATATGGATGACATCCGCGCGCGCATGAATTTTCGGCCGTTTCCAAAAAAAAAAGAAGTTTTCAACCATACTGTAACTCGTACAAAACAGTTGCAAAATGAGCAAAAATATACCACAAGTTACAAAAAAAATTAATAAAAACTATACCAATGTCGTAGAATGCCAAAATCAAACGAAAAAAGACGAAATTGTAAAGAAATGAACTTGAAGACTAGATTATTCGCCAAACCATATTCTGTGTCATTTGCTCAACCCTCATGACCACGTAGATTTCATAATGAAAGTAACTTTTTTTTTTTTGCAAAACTTTTTTTTTATTCGCACGCGCGCATCAATTTTGGGGTTCCCGTAGGATGTCATCCATATAATCAAATCAACATGGCCTTATACAGTAACCTCACCCCTGTATCCTCATTTGGCCCCAGGCAATAGCAACTTGCCACAATTCAAAAGGTCGATGATGTCCGTCTGAAATGTCAGATATATGATAACGTGTGTCTTAAAACTTCTAAACCTAAAACATTTTAATAATAAAGACAACTTAATGTGCGTGATCAATCCGCGACACCTGACATTTCTCTGTTCCTTCATCAGATAAAGAAATGCTAATTATAAGTGTTGTTATTATAGTATTTGTTTTTGCCCGTAGGTGACGTAGATAACCGTTCGGGGTTTTTGTGTGTCATAAGAAAGATGGCAGACAAACGACGATTCAACCCCGTCCCTCTAAAAATGCTCAGACATTGTTTCCCACAGATTCCCCACTCATCTTTACTACCCACTCACCGAATCTATCATGACAATATACACCTCACAAAATCTTTTCTGTGGTCCGCGGTCAACAGAGAGGCCGTCGCTCCAAGGTTGAGTGAAGAACTCGCTCGACAGGATTTCTTATCTTATCTTATCTAATCTTATATCTTACTAGTCACCATTATTGCGTTACCAGTATTGTTGCCTCAAACTCTAATTTGTTCTAGTATTCAAAATTCTAGAATATTGGAAGCAACACGAATTCCGTTGTAGCAACATTCCTTAGTTACGTGTGGCGATAAGGAATTTCAACACACGCAGGTAAGTTTCTACATGTTTGTGACCATTAGAAGGGGGCCTGCATGGGGTAGGGGTGGGGGGTCCCGACTATGCTCTACGCTAAATTTTGAGAGCTGGCTACGTATTACGATGAATTCAGGAAATTTCTCAATTACGCTTCACGATAAATTCCAAGTGGCTACAACGCTCTGCATAGAATTAAAACGGCGAATACGCTCTACACAAAATGTACCAATTACGCTCTACGTTGAGTTAGAGTGGTCCGTCTACGCTCTACGTAGAATAAAAACGACCGATAACGCTCTACGAAAAAGGGCATGCGGGCCGCCTTAGAAGACCGGTTGGCCTGCATGGTATGAAAGGTTCGCATGTCAACAAGTTTAGGGTGGCACGAGACAAATCGATGTGTTTACATATTGTGCTCTTTTCGACCAACAAGCTTTTTGAAGTGTTACTATGAAGGACGACTCAAAGGACGACGTCCTTCAGAGCGCTGTGTCTGTGTCCGTATCGCCCTGTTAGCTGGCGGCTCGCCGTGGTTAGTGTAGTGCCTACACTATAATTTGAAATTACCTGTAAATCTGTACATAAGTTACCTCAGAAATGGAGCCTTTCAGTTCGTATGGTCAGTTCCACTTCCAACGACTCGGGTTAATGAGAGAAGAACTTTGCGGTTTTATAAGAGGGCCTGCAAGGGGGGGTATTGATTACGAATTACGCCAAATTTTCGCCGCCGATTACGAATTACGTTAAATTCTCAGAGCTGATTACGAATTACGTTAAATCATGAGGATTCCCGACCGTCTAAAACACAGCAAATAATAGTTCTACGTCAAAACTATTGACTTTGTGTTGATAAGCGCATATGCGGTAGACCCAGGAGTTTTTTTGGAGTGAGGACAAGTTCTGGCGGGTGCCAAAATCACCCGAAATGGCGGGTTCGAACCGGTGGCTGCCGAAGGCACCGGGCGATAGGTGAAGCCGATCAGCGAGTTCTGAGCGCGCCATAATTGTAGGTGACGATTAACCTTTTCATAACCACTGAGCCATGGCGATAGAGGAAGAAACATTTATAAATATTATAAAATTATGCTGTGGATACTGGCTTCCTAGTCGTGGCCTAACTCACGTCACCTGCCAGAACGGGGGCAATATCACTACTCAAACACCGAGATTTGAAATTTAGATTGGGGGGCAAGATTTCGGGCGCCGAAGGCGTCCGTCTGCGAGCGCCGCAGGCGCGAGCCTGCTAGGGGGGTCCGGGGCATGCCCCCCCAGGAATTTGAATTTTAACCCTCTGAAACGCTATTTCCAGCATTTTGAGACCTAAATTTTGGTTGTGGATTGGACCATTTTGAAATCAGCCTACGCTCTTATGATCTCATGGATTACGATTTACGTTGCATAAAAGTAACTAATTACGCTTTACGGAGAATATAAACGACCAATTACGCGTTACGGCTAATGTACCGATTACGAATTACGATGATTTTGGACGGCCGCCTACGGATTACGAAGGCTAAAAAGGCCTGATTACGCCTTACGAAAAGGGCTTGCAGGCCCTCTTATAATAGAACACTAGCGCTGTTTATGTTACCAGCTTTATCAAAGTTTAATCAAGGAAGCATCATGGGCTCCTCGGTGTCAAGAGACGATTTCGAGTGGACTTACAACGAAGAACCACACGCCAGTCGCAGGAAGCTCATTCTAGGTCAGTTCACATGTTATCTATAAGCTATGAATTAATAACACACCTGTAATTTAGGATCAAGTTCCACACTATTTTGGTGGGAAAAAATGGATTATTTTTGCACTGGGGTCAGAAAACAAATATTCATATAACCTGACTGTTGCCCTAAGTTCTAGCTAACATGGCTACATCACAACTCCTAGTTTGACTCTAACTAAAAACTAAAAAAGCCTGTCCTCTCCACACTTGTAAGTGTATAAGTCGAAAGCTTGTGAATCTCTAGCAGAAATCAACAGACACCCTAACAGGTAGCATGAAAATCTGCTCACTTTAGCTTAGCGACATTTATGATCTTAATGATGATGACCTAATGGTATTATATTGTTTTTCTGTTACAGCAAAGTACCCACAGATGAAAGAACTGTTTGGGCATGACTCCAACATGGTGTACAAGGTGGGCTTCATGCTCACCCTACAGCTCATAGCCTGCTACTTTGTACAGGTAAGGTTTTTTTCCCAATCAATCAATCGATCAATCAATCAATCGATCAATCAATCAATAAATCAATCAATCAATCAATCAACCAATCAATCAATCAATCAATCAATCAATCAATCAATCAATCAATCAATCAATCAATCAATCAATCAATCAATCAATCAATCAATCAATCAATCCATTCCCAGCAACAGGATCACCATCAATGATTGTGAATTAGCTTGAAGATACAGGTCCATGTATCGTATACATGTATGTGCAAGAGTCTTGCAGAAACATACTCAGTGAATCAGTGTTTATTTTTAGCCAAGGCTGTATTAGATTTCCCTCATCATAATTCATATTGTTCCATTCCCAAGTCATGGGTGAATTCTATAAAGTGACTACTACATCTAAACGTATAATGGGCACAGCACAGTAATAGGGCTTTCCTATGTTAATATACGGGAATTATGTCAAAACAACGTGGTCAAAATTCATATACCTGAGTTTTAGACCTCGAAGAACATACATTGGCAGGGTAGGCCAAAAAAAATGAAAAAAAAAATCCTACGCACCTAAACCATGTGAGAATCCTAGCCGAACATTGAGAAGTGACCTCTGACCCCTCTGAACAGCTGATGACCGCGTGTAAACCTATATCTTCTCCAGCCAGCCAGACAACACAAACATGGCTGCAAGTCCATTTTTCACCAAAATGAAAATACTACAACCCTTGCCTATAACATCCAAGTCCAAAACAACAACATTTCCCTAGAAAAAGACTTCTTTACACTCTACATTACATTTCCATCTCTACAACTGGGCTCTCTGCGCCTGCGCTGATTACTGACCTTTGCCCTAATAAAGCCAAAACTTGTTCTATGATAAGATAACTTATTGTATGTATGTTAAGCTGCAATTAATATCCCAACAAACCAGATTGTGAATAATCTTTGTTATTAAAGAGTTAATGAACATGTATAGATTCTAGCTGGTTTTGGATTTTTATCAGAAAAAAAAACAAACCAGAAGTTCTTACCTTCTTAATTTGCATGGCAGGATGCACCGTGGCCGGTGATCATCCTCTTGGCGTATTGTTTTGGCGGCGTCATCAACCATGCCATGATGACGGCCATCCACGAAATTTCACATAACCTGGCCTTTTGGTCACCTCCCGGCCGCTTCACAACCGTATCCTGGGCATCGTGGGAAACGTCATCATTGCCGTGCCCATCTCCATCTCCTTTAAGAAGTACCATCTAGAGCATCACAGGTACCAGGTAAGAGCCCTGCATTCTTTCATTCACCAGTTTCCCATCTCCTGGATGCAATGCGAAAACAGGGCTCTAAACCTCATTTGCATAGGACAGGAAGGCATTGGAATGATCCTGGTGACGTTAAACAGCTTGTTTTTCAGTGGTTGGGGCATTTTATGCTCAACATTAACTAAAGTACAAATGTACGATGGGTCGAATCTGACAACAAATAGAGAATGAAGTTTTTGTGTTCTTTTCTAACATTGGAACATTGTGGTTTGTAACGTTACAGCATCAGTATAGCGTTACCACTATAACGTTACAAACCACATATTCCAAAATTAATTCTCTATTTCTTGTCAGATACAACCCATAGTAATTTATTTAACGTTGAGCATAAAATGCCCCAACAGCTCAAAACACACTGACAAAAAGCTGTTTAACGTCAACAGGATTGTTCTATGCCTTCCTGTTCTAGGCAAATGGGGTTTAGACCCCTGTTTTCGCACTGCATCCTGGGAATGGGAAACTGGTGAATATGATCATTCAAAGGGAGAAATGACACATTGTCCTGAGTTCCATTTTCTTTGTTCAGGATCAAAGTTTCAAACACCAAAAAATGTCAATTCCAAATGTATAGTATGTAGCACTCCCTTAGTGCTGAAATTTAGAAGATATTAGTTTTTTGGTTCAAAATTTGATCAACAAGCCAATGTCTCCTTTTTACGTACAAGGATGCAGAAATATAAGGTAAACTGGTGCCGTAGATATGAGAGAGGTTAAACTCAGAAACTGAGCCAAATACAGGCAAACTTTGAGGACTGAAAGAAACATTTGAAAATTGACATGATGCTGAGATCATAGTTAGCAATGATGGTGTCACGAAGAAAGTCAAAAAGTGCCTTTCACAAGGACACAACCAGGAATCGTACCTGTGGCCTCTCAATCCTGTGTCTGCTAACCTGACCACTCGACCATTGGTACTAAGAGTGATGATGATGGCTAGTTCTATTGGTAACACCAATAGTATTACACTTACAAACTAGAGAAGTAACATTTGCAAAGCAAAAGCATAATGTTTACCTTCGGACATGGTCTGCTCTGTTAATTCTTACCCAAACACATACATGTACTACTAGTATATGGTGACAGGAGCAGAACAGACCATAAAATTGCAACATTATGTAACCAACCACCAGTCACCATGGTGA